AAGGAAGTTATAATAGTATTCCTCTGGATCTGAAGTCTTCTCAGGCTTATTTTCACTTAAGAGCGGTCCCTGGGTGTACATCTTGAATTGTGCTGTTGGAGGACATGTTCAAGGGCATCTGTTCCTATATTTCCCCTTCAACACACAGATGAGTAACAGTACTGGGACAGAGATTTGATTTAACTCATAATACAGTGGTGGCTTGTAGTTCGAACAACTCTAATCTCAAACAATCCAAAGTTTGTTAAGAGTCAAGATAAAATTGCTCCACAGTTCAAATGATGCTTCTAAGTTTGAACTTTGAGTGAAGTGAAAAAAAATGCGGTTGCAGCAAAAAAGTCATTTGTTGTATACCCAAGTTGAAAAAAAGCCTCAATGTCCTGAACTGACTTGTCTTGAATTGATTTATCTTGACTTGAATCGATTCAGGACATCGAGACAGCCACAACAGCCCTGGGCTAAGTGTGCTTGAACTGAGGGGGAGTATTTTAAGGGGGATTAATGGCAAAATGTCTTTTGTTGTAATAATTTTGTTTTATTTAAAGATTCACCATATTTTTTGAGCACACCTCATATATAACCTCAAACTTGATTTGTTTCAGGAGGCTGTATTTGCTGTTTAGTTTACCAAAATGAGTGTTGTTTAGGGTCTGGGAATGGATTAATTCACTTTCCATTACTTCTAATAGGCAAAATTGCTTTGGTCTGCCAACAATTCAGAGTTCAACTGGCCTCCTGAAATGAGTTGAGTTCATAGTACGAGGCACCACTGTAACAACATAGCACTCTATCACTACCATCGCATTGTTCTGGTTCAACTAGTACCTTTCACAAACCAGTTTTGCCAGTATCACTGCATCATTTCAATTCAAACAACCCCATCAGATCAGGTGCTTTTTTGATGAAAAAAATGTTAGGAAATCCAATCATGGATCTCTAGTGTATCATATAGTTTGGCCATCACTTGAAACATGTATGAGATCCCTGTACTCTAAAGATTTTCTCCTAAGGTTAATAACTGGAAAAAAATCTTTGAGTCATGTATGCTTATTTCATCCTCCTTTACTATACCTGTAATCTTATCTAATTTTGTTTCAGAAACCAATACTGCTTTTAATATGGAGGGGGGAAAACCCAAAAGGATATAGTCTTATTAATCACTATGCTGTGCAGGGTCAGAACCCATATGCGTGAGTTCACAGATACCCAAAGACCCACAGCTACAGATGAACAACCTGTTCAATAGGCTATATGCAGTGCTGAAGTTTTTATTCAGAAAATGTATGTTAAAGCTTCAGTTTACAAGAAATTTTTTTAAAAGGTATTCAGGTAGAATAGAGTATTTGCAACAAATTTGAAACTATAGTCTATTTTGAATATGGTTTTAGCATACTTATTTGATGTATACTATTTTTATAATCTTTTTGTAACACTGCTGGACACTGCTGAACTCCTCTGACACATTATACCTTCTTGTCCCTTGCCTGCAGTTGCATGATACCCTTCTGTTCAATGTTTTAACATTAACTTTGAATCATGATAACTGTTTCAGCTGTCTTTTATGGAGGACAGAGTATTTGCTCATCCCTGCCGTGGTACAAATTAAATGGAATTACATTTTAAACATAGATAAGCATCATACTTCTCATTTGAATCTGTGTTGGCAAATCACCCAGTATCATGGGGGTACAAGAAATGTATGTAGACCCCTTCTGAATTAGACCAAAATTTAGTTGGTTTAGCTTCCCACAGGAACTAAACAGAAGTTTCTGGGAACCTAAAAGCAAGAGTATGAAGAGAGCTTTTCCAGCTAATGGGGTGGGATATAATTCTAATAAATAAATATAAAAAGGCAATAGCCTTCTCTCACAGTGCCTACAACAATTGGTGGTAAGTAGAGTGCTATTTCCTCTGAATGTAGATGTTCCACATAGCCATTGTAAATAGTAGCCACTGATGGTTCTATCTTCATCTATCGGAGTTGGTGGCTAGCACACCTTCTGGTAGCACGTTCCATAAGTGAACTTACCCAGTGGCTGAATCCACATAAAATGACAAGCCATGCTGGAAACTGTGCAGGCATAGTTTGCCATTGTGTGTAAATGGTGAAGTGTGGCATAGTTGGTTGCCATGAAACCGTGTGTAGAAGCAACACCTTGTTGTATGGTTTCTGTGCTTCACTGGTTGCTGAACTTTGCTGGAGCAGTGCTTTGAAATGTCTGTATGTTTGTTTTACTTGGAGTGCTGGTGCTTTTCTCTTGTTAGGCAACTAACAAGAGGAGCACATGGAGTGTGCACAGGCATTGTCATCAAGGCATCCAGCTTGAGAAGTCCTGGTCTCCTGCTCTCTCTCCTGCCCTTGCTGCGGCTCCTATCATTTTCCTGGCATTCCTGAGGACTGTCAGCAAGCCTCACTCTGCCATGGTTGTAAGACAAACACAGCCTTTGTGGCTAACCAGAAAACTTCTCCAGGTAGGTTCCCACACAGGCACCCTCGAGAAAGTTTTGCTAGCAGGACACACTTCCTTTGTCCCTTGCATGGGGTGCCTGCAACCTTTGTGTGCCTGGGTGGAGGGGGACGCAGCCCCTGGCAGGGGGTGGGGGTGGATACCTGTGCAGTGAAGGGGGGGAGTGTGTATGTGTCTGTGTGTGCACACCTGCTTGCATTCTGGTACATAGCAGGGCAGCGGCAAAGGGCCTTTCTGCAGTGCTCCTCCAGAGCAACAATGCTACTCTAGTGAGTGGACCATCACGTCACAGAACAGCAAGAAGGAAAAAGGCAAGTGGCTGAGGCTACATCCAGGGGAGTGGGTGGTGCAGTGCGGGAGAGGGAGAGGCAGGTGACTCAGGTAGAAGCGCTGTATCTTGGGAATGATGCTGAGATGCAGGGACTGATAGGATATGGGAAACTGAGACGCATGGAGACCATGCATGCATAAAAATTACAGGAATGTGTGAACCCGTGACACAAGGTGAAGTATCATGACCACTGGTAATTTTGTGGTATTGTTTAACATTATGTGTGAAGATAGCCAGTGCTTGAAAAAGTCATGGCAACACTTCAATGGCAGTTTCCTATATGGAAAGAAAGTTAGAATGGCCCTTTAACTGGAATCTATGTCACATAGAATTCTATGCAAGCCAGCTGAGTCTTTTCTGCACCACCTTACAGTAAGGTTTACTCCTTGCTCACTTAACAGTATGATGTAATGTGCTTCTTTCAAGACATATAAGCAAATCCATGCATGACTGTTCACTAGAGAGTGAAAGGAGGATTCCTTGATTTTATCTGCTTCCTAAAGTACAGAAAAAATCATTTTCTGTATTTGGTCAGCCCATTATGGATGGGTGTAACTCCATTTTGGAGTCTCTGCCCACATATGTAGACCTTTTTTCTTCAGTTCATGGTACTGTGAATTATATAAAGGACATCATTCAGTTCCTAAACTTCCTAGCTAGTGTAGAAGAAGGAACTACAAGGTTACTGAGGTAATAGAAATAGCTCTGCATAAGAAAGATTATGTCAGCAGCCCTCCTACAGCTTTTATATGCTTATTAGTCAAACCAGCAATTTAAAACTCTTTCAGTTCCAATATGAATTTTATTGGCAAATTTCAGGCATAGTTGTGGGCTTTAAGTTTGCCCCTGAATTGGCCAATCTTTATGTGATCGCATATTGCAAGATGGTAATCTTTTCAAGAATGTACTGTCCTCTACAAGAGATTTTTGGATGATATTCTTATATTGCAGAGAAAGACTGACCTGAAACACGAGACTATTACATTTGAAATCAGTTGTAACAAATCCAGGTTGAATTTTCTAGATGTAGTAGTAATAGCTTAGAATTGGTCTCTACTACTAACCTGTATTAGAAAAACATGGATGTAAGTTCCTTTCTGACATATGGTAGATAGCACCCTGCCCACCCTGCCCAGATGCAGTCTTCCTATTCACAGATGCTCAGATTACATAGAAATTGAAACAATATACAATATTTCAGCAAACAGGCAAAACTACTTACAACACAAATGAATAGAGACTATCCATAAAACTGCCAAAAGATGCCATGCATAGTGCTCTAAATAGTAACAGAAGTGAGCTATAGTAACCCAGGACTTGAGAGAGACTGGAAAGGATGGTGGCTTTTTAAATTTATGATGGATATACCAGTAAAATATATGAGAATACTTTTAGATACTGGCATCTGTTGAAAGAAGTACCCAATTTGTCAAGGCAACTCCATGTTTAAATATAAACACAGAACTGTAGAGATATTTTGATACACAGTGCTTGCAGACCTCAATCCGATTTGACTGACAACTATTTTGGGCAAAGGTAATTCTTCAAGTGCTAACTATAGTGTTTTCCATGGCTGCTATAGTAGCAGGAGTTTCATTAATCCTGCTGATAATGTGCTATACCTCTATTATTAACTGTAACATAGAAGGAGCAGGGTATGCCTTTTCCACTCATGCAGAAAAGTGTATGTGAGAATGACAATGAGAACACAGAAGCTTCATTAGTAACTGGAGGATGCAAGCGCCTCTTGATGGTGAATATAATGTGACCTATTTGAAGTTCTTTCTTTGGAGAAAGTTGAAGCTTAAGGACAGCAGCTGTACTGGAGTTTTCTGCCGCGGGGCTCCACTGGGGCTCTTTAAAGACTGAATGCATAGCCAGATTGAAGAGTTGGACGGGACAGTTATGTTACAAAACAAACAACTTACAATGTACCTACAATGATACATATATTGTATATGTATATTTTGTATATATGTATGTGTACATTAGTTTTAAATATATAAATTTTTGTATGCAGTGATAAAGTACAGGTGATATTGTATTCAAACATTTTAAAAATAAACTTTTCACCAGTGCATTTATCATCATATCAAGGTCAAATATGTGCACTGCTGGAATAAAGGTTCACCTGAAGAATGTCCGTAAAGTTTAAAAATATCCTAAATAATTTTATGGTGCTTTTCATATTTTTATTGCAGATTTTGTATTCATCCTGTCATCTCTGTAAAGCTGAAATTTACACTGATATTACAACTAGCCAAAAGAATGTGATTTAGGTCTATATGCACTGCAGTTCCAAAAAGCCACTGCAGAAATTATCCATGTTCTTTTATGAAAAAGCTGGAAGATAACTGGAACATGATGTTTTCAGTTTGCTCTTCAGGTATTTCACTTTATCCTTGCTCTTCAGATATTTTGGACTATACCATCCATGGCCAGTGACCATGCTAGCAGGTGTAATCTGAATTCTAATCTGCAATAGTGCCAGACTGGGGAAACCAGAAAAAGATTATTATCCTGACACTTGATACATGAGTTTCCTTAGCCCACCCTTCCCATTTTACTTTCAGTAACTATGTGAGGTAGATTAACAAAGATCATATTCCAAGTGAGCTTTGTAGCTGAGGATTTCAACCAATATTAGTATTCTCCCAGTTTCAGCATATTTTATTTCTAATAGCTAGGAAATGATCGGGTAGAATTATCATAATAGAATCCTTTTGGCATTGGATTAGTTATTCAAATTTCTCACAAATGTATGCAGGTGAAAGTCTGACATATACCTACTGTTTTTCCTGTTCTTAATAGTAATTCTATAAATAATCGCAACATCTTTTTGTGGTTTGGCAATGTCTTATCTGTAGTGCCATGTATGATACATAGGTAAGATGGAACACAGGGGATTCCCCAGAAAAAGTATTTCCCTAATTGTGGCAGCCCAGGGTTTTTCCTTTTTCCCTCAGTGGGCGAGTTTGCACGTCATGTTAATCCATCCTGAGAATAAGCCATGGTGGGTTAGGACTTTGCTGAATAGCCTGCAATGATACTGGCAGACGATCAGCCACTCTGAGGCTAGTTGCAGCTTGTTTCAGATTCACTGTCCTTGCCACCAGCTCCTTGCATATATCGTAAGGCTCTTTCCAAGTAAATTCCCATTCTGAAGTCCTTTGCTCATTTACTGCATGACCAACTTTTTAATACTGGACTGCTAAGTGTTCTGGGTTTATCTTGCCTTTGCAGACTCCTGACAAAGTTTTTCAAGTTCCCCTACCTCTTGGCAGATCAATACCTTCCCGTTTGACATATGAAACATTAGTGGAATATTGCTTTTCATGATAGTTGTGTTAATAAAGAGACACAAATAACACTACTAAACTTCCAGGAGTCAGCTGGATTGATATGTTGCCTATCCCTGCTATTAAATATTCTCTCATATGAGATGTTAAGTAACTGTTATTATCAACCATTTCCAATAACAACTAGAAATAAGAAAACTATCTTGTATTGTGCTACATAAGACAATTATGCTAGTCTGCTACAAGTGTGATTGTTCTTTTAAATATTGAAATATCTGTAGCACATAATCCCAGTTACATATACACTAATAGAGAAGAATTCCAAACTTCATTCCATTTATATTCATTATTAAAGCATTTTTCTCAATAGGAATATATTTTTTCCGTTTCCAGGAAAATGAGGTTGGATCATTCTTCCATACTTAAGCTACATCACTGTATTGTTCTAGATCTGGGTAAGTTATTCATTATTGGAGGAACAACCTCTGAAGCATGATGTCATTTGTGTCCTTTTATAATTTCTTATAAAACTATCAACTATTGCTGCCAGCTTTTTATTAAGCCCAGTGGGATGGTCATCAGTGTTGGCCAGAACTTGTGTGTCTTTCGTGTGGCATGCGCACATGTAGAATGAGTACCTTGTGGCTGGGCACTGTGGCTATTGTTGCCCCCAACCCCTTTCTTACTTTTTAGGGTTCTCATTCACCACCCTGTTCAAGTCAATTGAAGAATTGCTGCATTTATTTGGAGGGAGAGAAAATAGTTTGTGGCAGGCTCAGCCTGGCCTTGCAAGAGCTGAGGGGCACCGGACAGCATAATTAACTTTTGCAATATCCATAGAGAATGTAAGTGGCCTAATACAATCAGTGAACATCCTGATTTGTCACATGTTTTTCCATGCTTGTACTCCTTTAATTCTAGGACCCCTATGAATTTATTTTGCACAGGGCTCACTAGAACAGACAGTAATAACTTCCACAACTGGGTTTTAATTGGTCCAGTTTAGTATGTATTATGGTCATGAAAAAATAAAACAAACTCCCAACTGCCTAGAGGAAACCCACATCAAATGTCATGTGATGTTATGATGGCATGAGATAGGGTGGTATGAGAAAAGTTTCCACTAGCTGGTTAAAATCTTTCTTTGCATCAAAGTGATAAATGTGTTGAGGCACCTTCTTGGATTTGCTAAATGTGATTGTATTCATGGAATGCCTTTATATTGTCAATAATTTGGCTTCTCAATTCTGATTGTTATTTATGTATACTTCGGTAATTTTATTATTAATAGTAACAAAGTGCAGGTCTGTTTGCCTTGGTTAGGCAAGGAGATTGGAAAATGGTGAAAAACATTCCAATAGTGTTCTTGCCTGGCTTGGGTAGTACAGTAATCCACCTCCTACCATGATTTTGGGATCATTACTGTAGAGAGTACTTCTTTCCATCTGTTAAATTAACTTAGCCCACTCCCCATGGCCACTGAGTGGAAGTGGGGAGTACTGTGACAGCTGCTTCTAATGTGGCTCTTTATGTGGCCTGAAGCTCACCTGTTATCTGAAAGAAAGATACTCCACCTTTACAAGCCATGCCTCTGCTGACTGCCAAATCCATGCTGACTTACTGCTTTTGGGATGTTGCTGCCATGCACTTATGTAGGGTTGAACAGCCTGCTCTGAAGAAACAGGCTGTTCTTGAGATTAGCAGAGAGGATAGCAAATAACTAGTAGTGAGATCACAGTCATAGTCTCTTATAAAATACTGTGTGTACGAGACTGTGCATGTGGTACATGCTGGACATCAGCCAGTCACAGGCACCACCTCAGATTCTAGCATCCCACAAAACAGTATTTATAAGTCATTTACTTTCATTCTTTACCTTTTGCTGATGCTGCTATTTGTACAGTGCAATCCTATACGTGTGGGTAAGTGTGTATAAGACTGCAGACTTAACAGTCGTAGTTTCAGGTTGCACATTTTGTCAGCATTTCAAAATGCTGGGCGATGTAAATTAACATTTTAACCAGGCTGTTTTTTGTGATGCGAAATTGGGTGCATTGTGTTCCTGTGGTAAGTGTATGGGTGCTCTATTGATGCTTTCCTCTTGATGTGGAAAGACAATTTGTGGGAGGGGCACTGGCTGTCTGGACATGATATTTATATTTCAACTGCATCATAACATAAATGCATGTATTCTCTTTTGATCTTTTCCAGCTGGTGTGTAAAGCAATCTGGAGGCAGTTGAGGGTGGCTACTTGTTGTATTTATGTGTCAGGTTTCCATTACATATAAAAAGTTTACTATTGTAATTTTGTCTGCAATTTCATGTACTCTTATCAGGAGATGATGCCATTGTACTGATCAATCCTTCCTCTCCCCCCCTCACCCCTAATTTACTCCCTCTCCTCCTTTTTGGGTGGGGGTGGTGGGATAAGCTATAAGTGAGGCTCTGTGCATATATAAAATTGCCTGAGAATATCCTTTTGAATAGACATGTATAAAATATACCAAGAATAACTTAAACTACTGAAGGCTAATATGACCAAGTGAAATTAATTGAGGGGTAGGAGAATAGGGCATTCTTAAGGTAAAGTAACACACTTTTAATTTCATCACTCTTCAAGTACATACTGAATTGGGTTTGATAAGTCCATCAAGGTGGATCCTGGTTGCTAAGGCATCCTTTCATTCATTTTTCTTTTTTTTATTATTTATTTATTTAAACAACTTATATGCTGGCCCATTGCATGAGCCTCGGGGTGGCTTACAATCATTAAAATCCCATATAAAATACAAAAAAAAATCATCAAATAAATAAAATAAAAAAAATAAAATAGTGGATCCAGCCTGGTCAATTTAAACCAACAAATGAACCATTAACAGTTAAAATAGCATTTAAATAAAAAGGTCTTGGCCTGGCACTGAAAAACAAGGACGGCACCAGGTGGACCTCTCAGGGGAGCACATTCCATAGATTGGGCGCCACCGAAGAGAAAGCCCTCCTCTGAGTACTCACCCTCCGAATATCCTTCACGGAGGGTTCCCGGAGAAGGGCCTCTGTCGCCGATCTCAGGGGGCGGGAGGGCATATATGGATGCAGGCGCTTCTTTAGGTAACCAGGGCCTAAGCTGTTCAGGGCTTTGTAGGTGATAACCAGCACCTTGAATTGGGCCCAGACTTCAATGGGAAGCCAGTGGAGCTGACGGAGGACTGGGGTTATATGAGAACAACGCACAGTCCCCATCAGCAACCTGGCAGCTCTATTTTGCACCAATTGAAGTATCCGGACCGTCTTCAAGGGCAGCCCCACAAAGAGCGCATTACAAAAGTCTAATCGGGAAGTGACCAACGCATGTGTCACTGTTGCCAGGCAGTCGTTCTCATGGTAGGGATGCAGCTGATGGATCAGCCGAAGCTGAAGGAAAGCGCTCCTTGCCACCGCTGTCACTTGAGCTTTCAACGATAGCTCTGGGTTGAGGAGCACTCCCAAGCTGCGGACCCTGTCCTTAAGAGGGAGTGCAACCCCATTCAGGACAAGGTCAAAGTCCCCCATCCCAAAGCCCGATCCACCTACCCACAGGACCTCTGTCTTGTCTGGATTGAGCTTCAGTTTATTGGCCCTCATCCAGCCCATTACCTCAACCAGGCACCAGTTCAGTACAGCCACTGCCTCACCTGGATTGGTAGAGAATGAGAGGCAGAGCTGGGTATCATCAGCATACTGATGATTCTGCAGCCCACACCTCCTGACGACCTCTCCCAGCGGTTTCATGTAGATGTTAAATAGCATGGGGGACAAGATGGAACCCTGTGGAACTCCATGGCATAAATGCAATGGTGCAGAGCCATAGTCCCCCAGCACCACCTTCTGGAATCAGCCATTGAGATAGGAGCGGAACCACTGCAAAGCAGTGCCCCCAACTCCCAATCCCGCTAGCCTATTCAGAAGGATACCATGGTCCATGGTATTGAAAGCCACTGAGAGGTCCAGGAGAACCAACAGGGACGCACTCCCCCTTTCTTTCTCCCTGCACAGGTCATCATACAGGGCGACCAAGGCAGATTCAATACCATACCCGGGTCTGAAGCCGGACTGAAATGGGTCCAGATAATCAGTTTCCTCCAAGAGTGCTTGGAGTTGTCCCGCCACCACCCGCTCTAACACCTTGCCCAGAAACGGGATGTTGGCCACCGGTCTATAATTGGTGGCCACCTCTGGATCCAGGGATGCCTTCTTTAGGAAAGGCCGGACTACCGTCTCCTTTAAAGGGGCAGGTACCCGGCCATCCCTTAGAGAGGCATTGACAACCTCCAGGATCCAGGTCCCTATCCCTTCCTTGACTGTCTTGAGTAGCCAAGATGGGCAAGGGTCCAATAGGCAGGTGGTGGAACGTACTTGTCCAAGCACCTTGTCCACATCATCAGGCGGCAATAACTGAAATTCATCGATCAATTGTGGACCAGATGGCAACATTGGCTCCTCCCCTGAAGGCTATGAGTCACTAGTGTAGTCCAGCTTGTGACGAATCTGAGCGATTTTCTCCCTAAAATGCTTGACAAAGTCATCACAGCAGGCCATCGAGGGTGGTACCAGGTCTTTCTTAGGGCCTGGGTGAACCAGCCCTTGTACCACCCAAAAAAGCTCCACAGGATGGCATTGCGAGGAGGCAATGGACACGGAAAAAAATTTCTTTTTCGCCGCCCTCACCACCATCAGCATAGGCCTGATAATGGGCTCTTAAGTGTGTTTGGTCAGATTCATCCCATGATTTCCTCCACCTACGCTCTAGCCATCTCCCAACCCGCTTCATCGCCCGTAATTCAGGTGTATACCAAGGGGATGAACGGGCTCTGCCCGGTGGGAGAGGATGCTTAGGAGCGATCGTGTTAATAGCCCTGGTCATTTCCCCATTCCACAGTTTGACCAGAGTTTCGACAGGAGCGTCAGCCTTGTCAACTGGAAATTCCCCTGGGGCCTTCAGGAAACCATCCAGATCAATCTTGCTCTGGGGGTGGACCAGCACAATTGGGTCCGCAGCCTTACAGAGGGAAATGCCACTCGAGCTCAAACCTCACGAGGAAGTGGTCTGACCATGACAGGGGAGTCAGACCTAAATTCCTCACCCTCAGATCACCCTCTTCCTGCCCCGTTGAGAAAGCCAGGTCCAGAGTGTGTCCACTTTCATGGGTCGGGCCAGTGACATGTTGAGACAGCCCCATGGCCGTCATGGAGGCCATGAAGTCCTGAGCTGCCCCGGTCTGATCCGTCTCAACATGGAGATTGAAGTCTCCCAGGACCAACATCCTGGGGGTCTTCAAAACCAGGTCTGAGATGATCTCCGTCAGTTCAGGCAGGGAGTCTGTTGGGCAGAAGGGTGCACGGTACACCAACAGAATCCCCAATCTGTCTCGATCGCCCAACACCAAGTAGAGGCACTCTAGACCTGGCCTCGAGAGAACAGGAAGCCCTGTGAGGGAGATGGAAGCTCGGTAAACCAAAGTGACCCCCCCTCCCCTCCCCTCAAGGCATGGTCGGTGCTGGACCAGATACCCGGGTGGGCACAGTTGAAAGAGGAACATATCCCCCTCCTCACCCACTCAGGTCTCAGTTATGCAAGCCAGGTCGGCCCCCTCATCCACAATCAAGTTGTGGATGAGGGATGACTTCTTATGGACCGACCTGGCATTAAGCGACAGCATGGTCAGGCCTGAGGGGCAGTTGACAAGCCTACCCGGAACCCTCCAGCTGGGGGAGTAACCAGAAGGGGGGACAGGTGTCAACCATCTGTCCCGCCTTCTTCTATGCAGACCCGCTAGACCCCCAACACCATAACGTCCATTGCCCAAGACCACCCCAATGGCGGCGCCCATACGCTCCCCATGTGCACCCAGGTCTGAATCCATAAAATACGCAAAATAAAATCACCTAAAACAATTAAAACCACTAAAAACCCACAGCCACCCAACATATAGTTTAAGGAAGCCCACCCCCAAAGTTCCAGGCCAGCCCAGCCCCCACATGGCCCCGCACGGCATCACCACCCTTAGGCCGCCGCCCTTCGGTCGCCGACCCAAGGCCACCGGCCCCAGCCGCTGCCAGTGGATTAAAGCCCGCGGCTCCTCCTCCTCCGCATCCCACCCCCTGAGCGGCGCAGCTCTCACCTGCGCCAGAGGGGAGGGCGCAGCAGGGCGCGCCGAGCACTTTCCAGCCAGGTGGTGCCAGGTGGTGCAGGTGGGCCGACAGCGTCCCGGCGGTGGTCTTCCGGACGGCGGCGGCAGGTCTTCCCGGGCAGTGAAGGTGGGCAGTCGGTCCCAGTCCGTCGCTCCGTGGGGCCGGCTCAGCCGTGGCCGGTGGGTTAAAGCCCGCGGCTCCTCCTCCTCCGCACCCTGCCCCCTTTTAAATACAGTCTGAGAGCAGGAAACATGTAGGTAGTTCCAGATGTTCATCTTTTTATTTTTAAAATATTTATTTTAAACTATTTATTTAGCTAGTTCTTTTAAAGTATTTTAGAGTTTTAGTAGTTTAGAGCCAAAAAAAGTCTCTTGGACCAGCTTACAAATAATCAGTAAAAGTAGGCAGTCTTTCCCTGCAGGTTTACAATTTAAACAGACATAATAGACAAGGACTGCAGGTGGTGCAGTGGTTTAAACCGTTGTGCTGCTGGGCTGGTAGATCGAAAGGTCACTGGTTCGAATCTGCACAATGGGGTGAGGTCCCACTGCTCTGTCCCAGCTTCTGCCAACCTTGCAGTTCGAAAGCGTGCAAGTGCAAGTAGATAAAAAGGTATCACTTCAGTGGGCATATAACAGCGTTCCGTGCACTTCGGTGTTTAGTCATGCCGGCCACATGACCACGGAGACTGTCTGCGGACAAACGCTGACTCCCTCGGCCAGGAAACGGAGATGAGCACCGCCCCCTAGAGTCAGGCATGACTGGACTTAATGTCAAGGGGAAACCTTTACCTTTAATAGACAAGGAACATAGAATAAGGGGGATGAGGAAAATGTTAACGATGCAGTCTTAAGTTTTGCAGGAGACTCTCAGGCTCTGAGACAGCTTCAGAGCTCCATCTTCTGACAGAGCAGTAGAAGAGCAGCCCTTGTAGTTGCAGGCTTACTCCTGCAATTTACTGCCCCTGACAGGGCCCTCAAAAGCACTGGGAGCCCTAGGGGAAGAGCTGTATAATAACTGGTCCTTCCCTCCAGAAGCTGCCTCAGCAATGAAGGTCTCTTGACTTGCTGTGGTGCTTCTTGCTGCCTGAACTCCCCCTCCCC